AATCCTAATTAAGTTGAAACCCAACAAAACCACAGGACTGAAGGGTGGAGATTGAGCTCAATGGAAGAGCACTTGCCTGGCAAGTGCAAGGCCCTGAATTCGGTCCTCAGCTGGGGGAGAGGGGAGGGAAGGGGAAAGGAAAGCCAGGAACCAAGGGCTCACACCTATAATCCTAGCTACTCAGGAGGCTGAGATCTGAGGATCATGCTTCTAAGCCAACCCCGGGCAGGAAAGTCTGTGAAACTCATATCTCCAATAAACCACCAGAAAAGGAAGTGGTGCTATGGATAATGCTCTACTAGCCCAAGGCACTAGCCTTGGGCTGAAGAGCTGAGGGATAGCACCCAGGCCCAGAGTTCAATACCCATAACCGACAAAAAAACCACAACAGAACTGAAATGGAATTAATGTGAAAGTTAATATTAAGATTAATTAACTAACATGAATTAATTAATTTAAGGAAGACAGTAACCGTTTTACTTGACTATTTCTTCAAATAGCTTCCTCTGCTAGTAAAAATTTGTTTCCAATAATGCTTAGGGGAAAATGAGAGTCACAACCAGCCTCTGTCCTCAACAGGAATGAGTTAGCCTAATAAGGATGGATAGATATTTAATCTGGATCCTCTTTTTCTCTCTTTGCATGAGGGACCATAAGAGGCTAGCTTCTATTTTTTTAACAAAATAAATACTTGGGCAGAACATTATGAAAAGGAATTAAAAACTCCGTAGAAAATAAGAAAGATAAGCCTGAAAGCAGTAAAAGTAGGAGACAGAATTCGAATTGCAGCATTTTTAGTTTTAAATCTGACGATACTCTTGTTTCTTAGGCCAATGGTATTGGTGACAGCTGGAAATAGGACTTCATGAATTATAAAGGGACAAATGGTTGAATCTAGAAAATTAAGACTGTAGAACTTGTGAGCAGGAACAGAAAGGGGAAAATGAGGGAGAAGGAAGAAGGGGTGACATGTCAAGAAGCATTGCACTCATAACCTGACTTATGGAATTGTAGCCCCTTTGAACAACTAATTAAGAATTAAAAAAAAATACTAGAAAAAAGAGAGGGCAGAAATGTTCAGAAAGACCACTTCTGACCAATGACAAGAAAACCCCATCTCCAGATTTTCTGTGATGCGCGGCGACTTGAGCAGTCAGAAGTGGCTACTTGAGCACAGAACTTCCTCTTGTGTTATTCAGGACCCTCTAAGAAGCAGGAAGCTAGGAAAGCTCTATATCTAGAGGAAGATCTAGGAGAAAAAAATAAGGAGAACACCTTGGGAGGGTAATTAACTGTCGTTGGTGAAGCAGGTTGATCCCAGGAGCAAGAGGCTGGGAAAGAAGGAAGGCTGAGTAGAGACATGGAAGGGTGCAGTGCAGCTGTAGAGAAAGCTGACCACTGCTGGCCCGCAGGCGGCTGAGGAATGAGTGGCCTTTACCGTCCCTGTGGTGTTTAATCAAAGGTAGGATGGGAAGGGGAGGAGGTAGCAGCCCCTGGACCCACAAGCCAACTGAAATGAGGAGGGTCACCTTGCTGCCTCAACTCCCAGAATCCAGTTTTCCACTCTCCTGGCCTGCTATTCCTTGGAATCTCCAAAGTTTAATTCTGTCTGCCACTGAGAATTACACACCACCCGGTAAAGAAAAGTCCATCACTTTATACATCACTAAGAAAAACGCCAATTAAATCTGGATATAATCACTTCACAGCACTTAGTACGTTCTATTTATTGAAAAGCACTTAAGGAGTCAGCTACGTTTCAATCCATATTTGAAACTATTAAAAGAGGAAAGAAGCTATGTATGTTATCTACAACCTTTCAGAGACCAATGCCTCTCAATCATTATTCACCTTGGTCACCAAAATCCAGTTTCGCTCACTCATTTTCCTCCATGCCACTGGAATGTTAGAGATCATTTTAATTTTCTTTTTATCATGGTACCAGGGTTTGAACTCAGGACCTTTATAAGCAAATACCCTACCACTTGAACCAAATCCCTGGTTTCAATTTAAGTGTTTTGTTTTTTGTTTTTAGATAAGGTCCTGCACTTTAGCTCAGTACTGGCCTTTCACTGTGACCTTCTAGCCCTAGACTCTTATAAAGCTGGGATTACAAGCCTGCACTACCATACCCAGACCATAGATAACTCTTTGTGTGTACACATGCATGCATTTAGAGAGGGAGAGGGAGTGTGTGACTATGTGTGACTGTGTGTGTGTGTGTGTGTGTGTGTGTGTGTACACTCAAGGGAGAACAGATTCCTTGGAAGCAGAGAACAGGCCCCTAGGATATGAAATACAGGAAACACAAGTTGCAATGGGGAAGTAGAATCTGATGACGAGAGGGCTAAGAGGCACAGATGATGATGAGTCAGGGAAGGAGACTCTGAGTCATCAGACACGGCCTCACACTTCTGGAAGGGCTTCGGGAGAGGAGTCCAGCCTCTGATCTAAGATAATTCTGATTCATTCTAATACTTTGGTTTGAGTTAGTCTTAATATTTATAGGATTCTATGTAGGCCGAAATTGAACTCTCAAAGGATCATTTCTGACAAGTAAGTTTTAAAATAGCATCCATATATGAGTCAGTTGTAATGGGTTTACAGGGGGGAAAATTAACTACCTGAAAAAAAACTATGTTGTCAAAAGATGACAGTCAGTTCCAAGGAGCAAGTCTCCATCAAGTTGGTGTCATGGACAACTTTCAAGCCAAACTAGGAAAGCTGTTTTTGGGTAAGTTCAAGATATACTCCCCCCAGTCCCGAACATGCCTGTCAAACAGAAATCCACAGAAAACTGTTTCCTTTCATCTGGAGAACTGACTCAAACACATTTGATGCCAGGCACCAGTGCCTCACACCTGTCACCTTAGTTACTCAGGAGGCTGAGATCTAAGGATCACAGTTCGAAGCCAGCCCAGGCAGGAAAGTCGTGAGACTCTTTATCTCCAAATAACTTCCAAAAAGCTGGATATGGCACTGTGGCTCAAAATGGTAAAGCACTAGCCTTGAGCACAAAAGCTCAGGGACAGTGCCTAGGCCCTGACTTCAAGCCCCAGGACTGGCACAACACACACACACATACACACACACACACACACACACACACACACACACACACACACACACACATACACACACACAGTATATCTGTTATTATCATTATAAATATGATAACTTTTATAAAATTAAACTAAAATCATCTCTCCAGTGCAATTGCATGTTTTAGGTTATTTATCATATGCATGAACTCACACTTTACAAACAATATTTTGACACCAATTGAAAATTCCTAATAGGAACTTGTTCCATTAAAACAAACAAACTAGATAAAATCTCTAATCCTTGGAAATGACAAGTGAAAGTCTGGCTTCCAAGTCTATTTTAACTTCCTAATTGGCGTGAAGTCATAAAAAAAAAAAAAAAACAAGATATAGTAAGAGTATCTAACTTTGAGAAAGATCTAGCTCGGAGGCAAGGATTGTTAAGTGAGACCACAGCCAATGGCTCTCAGTGTAGTTTACCACAGAATCACCTCGGAGCAGGGGAAAAGAGCTGCAGTAGAGTACACTACGGAAAGAATGTCAAGAAGATTCTCCCCTTAGGTAAAACACATGCATTCACTTTCACACACACCACACACACACACACTCACACATTACAAGATAAAAACAATTCAAATATGATTTTAGTACAGTCATTTCATGGAACAAAAACCAACATTATAAGTTATGCAAAGTGAAAGATCTCACTGCAAGCTGCTGACCAGCAGCAGGTAGGAGGGCCAGGAAGGAGAAATAGGTGGGTGGGGGGAGAGAGGAGTGAGGGGGAGCTAACAAGGAGAATGAATAGGGACTAGATTGTTCGCAACTATGCAAACAGGACAATGAAACCTGTTGAAACTGTCTTGGGAAGGGGAGGAGAGGAAAGGGGGAGTGACCAAGGAGGTGAGATTGGTTGAAATAGAATGAACGTGTGTGGAAATGTAACCGTGAACCAATTCCCCCATAACCAATGTGAGCTAATAAAAAAAAAAAAAAGTTATGCAAGGGATTGGAGCCCAATGAAAGAATGAGGAAGAAGGAGAGAAGCCAGGAGGGTCAGGGAGGAGAAAAGAACTGATTCCTGGCCTGTACCTGATCAATGCTCAAGACGCTCCGGCCTACAGAGGAACATGGCTGGGGATATCACCCACGATGCCTTCCCTGGCCACGTATTTTTTAAAGGGTGGTGTCTGAGACAGAGAGAGTCGATGTGAAATGCATGTCTTGAAAGCCAGAAGAGTCTGTCTGCATGAAGCCACCATGCCCAAATGGGGACTGTCCGGCCTCAGCACGGGGGATGATGACAGAGAGGCACAAAGCAGCATGGTCTCAGACAGCTTCGGCACTCTGAGGCTCTCTGCCTCTTCCTCCCTGCAGCTTTCCTGATACTCTGGGCCTCGACCACATCTGTGCTCTGATTCCCCGAGCATGCACTGGAGGCTAGCAAGGAAGACATGTCCATCTGACAAGAGGACACATGTACAGAGGTAAATGCATGCGGAGGGGCTTTTTAAAGGACACCACAGACCTGCAGCACTATTTTTAAAGGCAGTAAGATTCCTGGGCGGCTGCCCACCTCCAGTAAGTACAACACGTCCTGACATGCCAGAGAGAACATCTCCAAAATGCCGGTGGTGAGCTCGTCCCTCGGAACACACGCAGAAGCGTGCTCCGCGGGCCCGCCCCACGCCCCAGTGCCAGGTGTCTGCTTCATAGCTGGCAGCACCATCACTGCAAACTACTCACTTGAAAACCCTTCCCTGAGAAAGACCATATAAAATGGGACACTTGTCCAGCACCCGACCAGTCAAGTCTCACCCTGGAACCTGGTCCACGGCTCTTGCTGCTAGGTGCCTTCCTCTACCCACGGATGCCGCCATCAACCCCTCTGCCAGAACCAGCGTCTAAGCTCACAGCTTCCCCCTTTGAAATCTGCCTTCTTTACTGTCTACTCACCATAATTTCTCTCTGTTCTTCTAGGTTCTTCAGAAAGTTTGAAAACTCACGTAAGGACGCATCTGTAATGAGAAAGGAGTGAGTGTGCGGTGGCCCAGACAGAGGAAGCGAACCACGACCCCGGGCTCACATACCTATGCAGCGTTCATCGTCCGTCTCCGCATCGCCAATGAACTCAAATTTAAAGTCTCTGAGTGAGTGAGCAAACTTGCGCTGCGCTGCAGAAAGACCTGGAAAGAAAGGCACATCCATGACTAGGGTCCTCATTTTAAGACAGCTGGGCTTTCTTTTTGGCAATTAAGTCATTGGGATATTTATGAGACCATTCCCAGGTCACACCAAATTATCACTATAAGCAGATGGCCCTCGGGCAGCTAACAAGCAGCAGCATATAAGAAGTACATCTGTTTCACCATGTACAACGTGACTTTGTGGGTTCATACAGCCCAAGGGGCAGACATTCCCTGCCTGCTTCAATCTAATGCCGTTAAGGAGAATGTTACACTGCTAAGACAAGAAGAGATGGAGAGCTCCCCTCCCCTCCATTTTGAGAAGGAACAACCATGCTTCCACAATCTTCTACCTGGCATACCCTCTGGGCGGCCTCTGTTCTATTCCATGCCCTGGTACAGATTCCTGGGGAATCATTTATTCCCTCACCCACTCATTCTTTCCCAGATCTATTTCACCTCATTTCCCTAAAGCCCTTATACCCTGTCCCTGCTCACTCAAGTCAGAGCTTGCCTGCTTCCAAAGTTCAAGCTAGGATTCGGAGTGCCCGCACCTGACAGTCCTGTCAGGGTTTCATGAGACCAGACTGCCAACCACAGCTTCAAGCAGAGGGTGTGCAAAACTCAGCCAGCCAGTGCCCCAACTGACAAATCGTCACCACAGCCAGAGAAACCCCAAAGGATTCCCAAGAATGTTCATGGTAAACAGCATCAGGAAGCTAGGTAACTGAAGGCCAAGATTAAATGGCACGCAAAGCAATTCTACAAAAGTATACGCATCACCATCTAGAGATTGAAAGAATCATGGCAAACGACTTTTTAAATAAGCCTACAGATGAGCGTGACTCAGTGGTAAAGCAAGAGATAGCAAGAGGCTTCGGTATGATGACTTCTAAAGAAATAGATAATGTGCAGAGGCTAATAAACTCTGACTGGGTTAGAATTCAAGAAATAAAAGATAGAGGTTAAGGACATATCTACAAGACACATATATTTACTAGACATCAATGGAGAAAGTCAAAACCCTAGTTAAAAACAAAAAGTTGGACACAACTGAAGTGACACTTCATAGAAGTAAATTCAAATAGCCTACAGCCACATAAAAGGTACTTGAAGTCAACAGCAATAAAAAACCCAAAAATTAACATTTCCAGTCTCCTCAATACAACACTCATGCAACTGGCAAATGTTAATGACACTGGCAGCTCCAAGAGCTGGTATGACTCTGTGTGAGGAAACAACTGTTTACACTGCCAGAGAGGGGAAAACCCTGGCATAATTAATTTTTTCATCAGTGGGCCATTTCCTGGTAAATCTGACAATGTCCTACAACCCAGAGATGTTGGTAAATTTCTCAGAGAAAACTCTCGCACATGAGCAAGAGTACTCGTAGCCATGTACTAGAAAATCCACAGCGGGACTCAGCACTGTGACAGTCAAAGACAAGCCAGGGGCAGGAGACTCTCTTACATGGAGTTCAAAATAAGCTAAGGAATTCCTGTACGCCGCAAATCTGGGTCACAAAGTTATGGAACTGCAAGTGAATCATGATCTCATGCCAGGCAGGGTTTCACTTCCATGTGAAGGCAAGTGATACAGCTGGATCTTTGCAGAGATTATTTGAGCTCATAATTGCACTGGAGTAAAGAGAATCTAAGGATAGATACTTGTACAATTTTACAGAATTGTACCATGTCTTGAAAGTAGGTTGCTGGGGATCAGACCCAAGGAGGGCCTTACCCATGGTAAATACACCTTATACTCACTGAGCTACAAGGTAGCTGAGGTGGCAAGGTAAGTGCTGGTATCATCCTTTTGTCACCACACACACACACACACACACACACACACACACACACAAAGAGCCAGGGAAGCGGTGACACTGTCCTTAAACAAATACACTCTTTACCTGACATATAATTGTAACCCCTCTGTACATCACCTTTATACTAACAAAAAAAATTAAAAGACACACATACAAATGAGGTAAGTCACATTCAAGATAAATTAGTGGCCAGGTGCTGGTGGCTCATGCCTGTAATCCTAGCTACTCAGGAGGCTGAGATATAAGGACCACGGTTCAAAGCCAGCCTGGGCAGGAAATTCCATGAGCCTCTTATCTCCAATAAACCACTAGAAAACCAAAAGTGGTGCTGTGGCTCAAGTGGTAGAACAGTCACCTGAGCTGAAGAGCACAGGGTCAGCACCCAAGCCCAGAGTTCAAGCCCTATGACAGACCAAAAATAAATAAATAAATAAAAGCTAAATTAGCAAGTTGACCAAGGTCACAGAGCCCTTCAGACAGCCAGCAGTAAGGACCAGGTCTCGAGGGTCTGGTACTTCATGAATGTCCTTTCATAACACCACTGTGCCTCTCAGGACAGTTCACCATCCCCAGTTCCTTTGTCTAGACCTCACCTGACAGGAAACTGTCCTCTTCTCCACATGACTCTAATGTAGAATTCTACTAAATGAAAACTTGTAGGCATTTCCTCCATGACCCATCCCTCACCTCTATGAATCCCTGAAGACCCGAAGTGAACATGCTCTAAACATCCCTTCAAAGCTGGTATACACTAGGGGGCTCATGTCAAGCCTGACTGTGCACAAAAAGCATACCCAATTTCAATAATAAACAGAGCTTGATCTTCAAATGAACTTGCCACTACTGCACAGTTTTCCAGGCCTGTGTTTTGAGATTCATAACCAACAAAACAAGACTGAAAATATAGGCTGGATAATTTCTCAGGTCTTATATTAAAGTGTTTAATCATGTTGATTTTTGCAGCTGGTAAAAGACAGAGGTCTAGTTTCATTCTTCTGAAGGTGCATATATGATTTTCTTATCATCACTTTATTTCACTTTGTAAAACTGGGCACTTTTATTCACCATAATGCTCCTGAAATCCTGCCAAGTTGCTATATATACCAACAGTCTACCTTGAGTGTAGTTCAGTTGCTACTGGTCTGTTAAGGCTTTCTGCTTCTTTATAACTCAATCTTGGTAAAGTGTATGTGTCCAAGAATCTGTCTACTTGATCTACTAAGTTTTCTATTTCTTTATGATTTAATCTTGGTATGATGTAATTGTCCACTTCTTCTGTTAGGAGCTTTGTCATGTAGGTGTTCATAATAAACACTAATGACCCTTTGTACCAATTAGAATTTGAATTCGAGTTTGGAGAGCCTCCAGAACCTGGTCCAAATTGCTACTGCTTGATAATGCTACAAATGGGAAGAATGGTTTCTTACAACACTGACATCTACTTTGTGTGGCTATCTGGCCCAAGTGGATGGGAAGCTCGGGGTGCATGTATACCTTGACTATAGTTCTGGGCAACAGTGTGGGTGCGTTAAATCAGTGCCCTGTAACATCAGAAGTTTCATACAACTTCCACTCCCGCAGGCATGAGACTGCAAGGGGAATCCATGAAGAGAGGCGGCATGTTCCATAACCCTAGGCTTGAAATGTAAACAAACAATGAGTAAATGCCTTTCCTCCCTCACTAAACTGGAACTCCAGGATTCTTGACGTATCACATTGAACTCCAAAGCTTTTTTTTTTTGAAGTAGAGAAAATGCCCCTAGATGCCCACATTCTTCTGCATGTAGAGACTGAAATAAAGATTACCAACTATGCCAAAGTCTGCCAAGTAAACTAAAGTCTGCTCTCTGCACACCAAAATTTACCAATTAAACTTGAAGATCTGGGTTTACACTCCTAAGAACTTGGTGTCTATCATGCCAGTTTCTTGCCAAAGAAATAATGCTGAATAACTTGGAAAACAAAATTCTTCCAGGACCATGGGCTAGCCCCATGTTTCCCTTGTGTTTTCCAGTTTTGACAAAAACCTGCAGGGGCACTATATGTAAAAACAACATTGAAGCTTTTCTCTGCAAGTCAACAAAGAAAGGAAATTACTTGTTTTGTGGTTTAAAGAATGGTACAAACATCTTGTGAGTACAGAATGCATAACTTGTCTAGTCTAGACTTGAACACCAAATCACAGCTTGTTTTGGTAGCAGTTCATAAGCCAACCATCGCTGGAGCCATCAAGTTAAAGAGCACTTCTAGCCTTAACTCCCCAAGACAAGCCTGCCTGGAGTATCTATTACTGAGCTCTTCTCAGTCACAGAATAAACAACACTCAAGTCACTAGGATGACTTGAAGTGATAAACTGAGGGAGCTGAAGACAAATTACAAATGCACTATCAATGTAGTGTGCAAGGCTTAAAACCTAATATGATGCAGAAGTGATGCCAAGTGTTCACCAAAACATCCAAGTAATTATGTTTAAAAAAAAAACCTTGAAACTGGAGTAAATCCATTGTCATACCCACACTGGAGAACATCATCAGCCTTCCCTAAACCACACATCACAATCCAATCACTGTGTACATTGAGTAGAATCAGTCAATTGCAGCTAGGTTCTGAGCTAGGCAGTCAGAGAAATGTGCCTGCTACAATAGGGTACTTTATGAGAAAGGGAAGCTGCCAATCACCTAGCCTAGTGACCACAGATTTTTGTCATAGATAGACAGACAGATAGATCGACAGACAGACAGACTGACATAGATATGATAATATACATACTGTCAGAGATATCCATTGATATCTATATAATTATGTAGTCATATATGTCTATATAGATATAGACACAGATACAGATATAGACTTAGATATAGATATAATCTGCGGGGGACTGGTGGCTCATGCCTGCCTTCATATCTACTTAGGAGGCTGATATCTGAAAATCACAGTTTGAAGCCAGCTGGAGCAGAAAAGTCCAGAAGGCTCTTATCTCCAATTAACCATCAAAAAGCTGGAAATGGAGCTGTAGCTCAAATGGTAGAGTACTAGTCTTGAGCAAAAAAGATTAAGGACTGTGCCCAGGCTCTGAGTTTAAGCCTAAGGATCTGCAAAAAAATCAATAAATATAGATAGATAGACAGATAGACAGACAGACAGATAGATAGATATCAGTAAGAACACATGCAC